AGATTTTTTTGGGAAACTGGTTGAATAGGTTATTACCTATAGAACACTATAGGAGGCAATAGAAGGTAATGGAACATTCTAGAAATTTGTAGTAAGTGCCAGACTCATTATGTATGCTGATGTAATGGTCTATTTATAGACAGTGGAGGTATATATAGGGGAGTTGTTCAGCACTGAGTTAAGATCAGAGATCTCGTTGAATTGTATTGGAGTTTAAGTATCTAGTTATTGGAGTAGTGGAGTTTTACCGCGTTACTGTACTTGATGTTTGCAGAGTATAATAATACCAGTACCAGTTGAAACCTCATCTGTTGGCTCCGTGTTCGTATTTTATCATCGCCGCCAGGGAAGTCTTTTTGTTACTGTTGCCATTTTGGTATTTGAACCATCACACCTGTACTATACCAATTACGGTAATATTACGTTGCGTGTGACACTTCGACAAGCATTGTTCTTAGTAGAACACCGAGAAGTATATCACATCGGAGCTATTATTACACGTAAACGTGCGACATTCATTCCTGACTTGATTCGTGCACATACCCAGAAGATTTGTGATAGCGGAAAAATTGTCGCACTGAAATGCGTGTAGGTGCAATGCATGTGCTGAGAATAATCACCATGAACAACAGTAATTCAACAAAAGCAGTTGAACGGGTTGAACAGAGGATTATTCAATGTGTGATAATGTTTGATTTTTAAACACAATTATTATCAAATATACTACTCAAAACAATTTAAGGAACACCTGAGTTTTTATATCAAATACGTTTGGACCATGTTAAACGATGTCATGTTACCCTAATATTGTCACAATGGCAGTTTTTAACCTGCCACACATGTCTAAATTCTTTCTTAACCCAGTGTATGAGAATAGGTGCGCTCTCAATTTCACAGTTACGTATTCTGTCAGGGGGAAATCAGGTGAAAAGATAGGACATTGCTTATCACACACCTGCTCTAATTCTTATGCTTCGAAGAATGTTGAGTTTTTTTCCCTGTACATAATGCATCCTTGTGATCACATCTTCCAATTATGGTAATCAGAATACACTCACTAATGGCGTTGTCGCAACTTTTGCAAGCATGCCTCCACGTCGACATTTAACAATTGAAGAGAGAGCCAGGGCAATAGGCTGGTTAAATGAGGGTGTTTCCTTGCAAGAAGCTGTAAGAAGGCTGTTATTCACAGAATATCCCAGCGCTTCATAAAAACCCATACAGTACATGGCAGACCCAGTTAAGGTCGTCCATGTGTCACAACTCCTGCTAAGGACCGCTACCTCCTTATCTCAGCCCATCGTAACGGAACCGTAACTGCCAATCCCTACATAG